AAAGCTATTTTAAATTTTACATGGAACTAAAATATGGCCCAAATAGCCAGAGCAATCCCAGACAAAAGGAACAAAGCTGGAGGGATTATGCTACCTGATTTCAACTATACTTCAGAGCTAGAGTAACCAAAACAGCATGGTACAGGTACAAAAACAGACATGTAGACCAATGAAACCAAATATAAAACCCAGAAACAAGATCACACACCTACAACTATGATCTTTGACAAACCTTGTTGGCAGCATTTGAGAGCAGGTCCTAAGCCTGACTGCTGGGAGTGGGGAGGTTCTGAGCCATAATCAATGGCATGAGCAACAGGTGCCTTAACGACATACTCCAGCTGCAGTAGATAAGTGTGCCAGAGCCTGTTTCTTGTCACTAAAGAATGCTTTGTTCCCTGTGAAGAATATTTTTAGTCAAATGGTGATTATAACTTGCTTGCTGTCAATAAATGTGTGGGTCAGTCTCTGTTGGAGGCTCTCAGTTAGGAATGCTGAGGCCCACTATCTGTCCCATACCTTTTTGCTCTCTATCTCTGTGTCTGTTTATTAATTCCTTCAGTGCCACCTGGGTTGGGATCTACCCGACCAAGCTGGTCTCAGCAAGTAGCGCCTACGTGGAGCTTGAACCCAGGACAAAGGGTCACCAGAGTTACGGCTGCAGAACGTGGAACTAAGCTGGAGAACACCCGAGTATTCTTAAAGCTATACCCGTGGTAAAAAAGGAAACTTGGAAGCATCAGGGTAATAAATAGGACAAAGGTCCAACAGGCATGAGGCTTATTTGAGTCTACTTTGGCAGCTCCTCAAGAAAGGGGGAATTAAAGTTAATCTCTGTCAGCTGTTTTCAATGAATTTGTGCTTTCTTACTCAGTTCTTCTGCTGCTTTCTTTGTCTTTCATTGCTTTATAAAGAAGGAGCTAGGGATATTCCAATCTCAGTAAGAAGGAAGACTTATGGGGAAAAGGAAAAATAAAAGTGGGTGGGGGAACCCCAGCAGGAAGCTCCACCCAGGCCCATAGCTAGGCCTGGGCAGGAGAAGGGAGCAGAGCAAGCCAAAGGTGTCTCCTGTAGCCAGGTGCAGGGGTGTGGGGAATGGGACAAAGCTCAGAGAAAGCTCAGAGGCGTTCAAGCCAACAGGCTCAGCCCAAAACCAGCAATTGCTGCCCAGGCATCGTGAGAAAACAAAAAGTAGCACCTGGGTGGGGCCAGCACTGATGCCTGCCCAGACCCCCACTGCTGCCTCTGGCTCCACAAATGTCCCACAGTGTTCTTTGTAAACAAGTAACTTCCCAAATTCTAATTCTTTGCTAAAATTTAAGGATTTGTAAGATTTTTTTTCCTAATATTAGCCACTATTATTTCAACCCTACCTTTAAATGGGACTCTTTTAAAATCTAATTAAGTAAAACAGTAACCTCTGGGGTAAAAAATTACAGCTAGTCCATGAATTAGTAAGAAACATTTAGAAGCAAGACATATGGATTTGCTCCTCAGTAGAAAAAAGTTTCCTAATTAACTGACAAGTTGCAAAACGTGCTTTCTATCTTAAAAGGCAAAAATACTGGCACAAGCCTTACCCATAATTTTGTAAATTTGGATAATAAATGTCAATTAGCTATAAAAGGTGGCCCAGGAATTAGCTAAAAAGCAATTAAAGGCTAAGCATGTAAAATCACACCCTTTAAAGGAGAACTTTAAACCAAATTACATATTAGTTAAGTTAAAAAGTAAAAATTTCAAGCCCATTCTCAGAAAGTAAAAGAAAATTGTATGTAAGTGTGGTTAAAAAACATATGCATAAGACTGATGAGAGATAGTCTTTGCTCAGCTAGTCACTGTTTTCAAAACAGCTTGCCAGTTTAAAGTCCATAAACTTAGCTTAAAAACTTAATTGCTAGCTATTCTCCTGTGGCTTTAAGCACATGATTCAAGTATATTATTTAAGTCTCTGCTTCCAGAGATGTTTTTAGATTTCTCTTTAAAACTTTCTGTTACCAATTTCAACTTACCATCTTAATAATTAATGCAGCAAGTTCCTAAGTTAATTCTAGCATCACAGAAATTCCTTTAAGAGGAATTTGAAGCAATTTACTTCTTCATACCTCCCCTTTAGTCCTGTTTAACTGTATCCCACAAGTTTTGATATGTTGTATTTCCATTTTCATTTGTTTCAACAAACTTTTTGATTTCCATCTGAATTTCTCTGTTGACTCAATGTTTATTCAGGAGCGTGCTGTTAGTTCCATATACTTGCCTAGTTGCCAATGTTTCTCTTGGTGTACATTTCTAGTTTTATTCCACTGTGGCCAGAGAAGATATTTGATATGATTTCAATTTTTGAAAATTTGCTGAGATTTGTTTTGTGGCTTAACATAGGTGCTCTCCTGGAAAAAGTTCCATGTGTTCATGAAAAGAATGTATATTCTGTAGTGTTAGATAGAATGCTCTGTAAATATCTGTCAGCTTTATTTGGTCTGAAGTTCAGTTTAAATCCAATGTTTCTTTCTTGGTTTTCTGTGTAGATTATCTGTCTAATGCTGAGGTTTAGATGTTAAAGTCCCCACTATTCTTGTAATGGAATCTATCTCTCTTGTCAGAGGTAGTAATTTTACAGGCTGCTCTTTGTTAGTAAAGAAAATGATTTGGGGGCTGCATTTCATTAAAAGAAAAACCTTACTGAGGACTTCTGTACCCTCACAATCTGCCTAAATAATTTCTTCTTAACTCCTATATCACTGCCAGACTCTGAGCCAAAATGAGGTGACACAGAGAGGCTGGGACTGTGCAGAATGCATTTTAGTAGAAACAGCTGAGTGGCAGTAGTGATGTCCAGTTGCCAGATGCAGCAGTGACATCTATACTAGCCTCAGGGTCCAGTGTCCAGCACCAGGGTGTCAGAGGTGTGAGCAGTGGCGTCTGTGCTCAGCAGCAGGGGCAGTTGTTCCTAGGAGGGACCTGATCCAGATTGGGCTGTGGATTCTGTTCCTGGTTGTGTAATTTCTAGCCTTGTTCTGTGGCCTTCTCCACAATAAAATTAGCCCCCAATGCCATGTATTACTACTTTATGTGTGCCTTAGAGAAATTTATTTTCCATAGTTTGCTCCAAAAAGTGAGTGAGAAATCAGTGTGTGGCCCAGTGTCAGAGAGCAGCATTCAGAGGTGTTCTTTGTGTGAGAGCCACATCCCAAATTGTCTACCTGGCCTCTATGCCGTGGTGGAGAGATCAGCAGGGAATAGCACATCTCATAATTGATGATATACATTCTCCCTTTTATTTCTGAGAGAAAAATCTTCTTTTAAACAAAGTTTGAAAACCCACCCCATCCACCCACCCTGGTCACTCTGATCTCTGATCTCAGTGATTCCCAATCTGGCTCCCAACAGGGAAGGCAGGGGCTTAGAAAATACTCAGGCCACTTCTCAGAACACCTGTCTCAGAGTATTATGCACAAGACCAAGACATCACTTATATAACAAGCACTACGGGTGAGGCTGATGCACAGACATGTGGGATCCTGGTGTGCTTGATCTGGAGACCAGAAACATAGGCTCCAGTCTTGTCATAAATCCAGAATCTCTTGCTCAACCCTGGACTTCCTGGATCTCAGCACCACGTCCAGGTGATTCCTATGCACATGGGAGGTCCTTGTCTAAGTGTCATCTAGACATGGGGTCAGAACTGTGCCGTCTGCTCTGGGTGTGGTCTGATCAGATCCCTTAGAACTGGAGGTCCAGGGTTCAGTCCTTGCACTCATTCTGTCCTATAACCAGTCACTTCCTTGTTGCCCTCAACCATGCTTGAGGTAATAAGTATTGTTTATATGGTGTGACCTCCTAAATCTATGTCTCCAGCCCAGTCTATTTCTCATTTTCCCTAAACTCTAGAGTTGTCTGTCCAACTGCCACCCCAGCTCCCTCACCTGCATTCCTAGTAGACATCTCCTCCACTGGGTGCCTGCGAGGCCCCCTCCTCAGTACGCTACTGCCAGAGTCTCCCCATTTCCACAGTAGCTCTACCCTTCCTTCTACTTACTCATTTTACAACTGTGGGTGTCCTTGATTCGTCTTTCTCACACTATAGACACAATCCATTGGCAAATGTTGTGAGTCGATCTAAAAATGCATCCAGAGAGAGAGATCCAAGATGGCTGATCACTAGCAGCTCAGGATTGTAGCTCCCAATGAAAGTGCAGAGAACGAGAGGACACCACACTTTCAGAGGAATTTTTGTTGCTCACGCACCAGGAGATTCCCAGCGGAGGAGCCCCACAGGTCGCCAGCGCGACTCTTGTGGCTGGCGAGGCGGTTTTGCCGCTGCCTTGGTGTGGCGGTTCTTGGTGCAGAGTCAGAAAAGCACCATTAATCTTAACGTCGCTGTTTTGGCCGGCGCAGTGGGTTGCTCAGATTTTAGCGCTGGGAATCAACAAGTTGGAAGTCCACTCAGAAACCCAATTATAAAGACGGTAATTATAAAGACCACAGATGGATAAATCTATAAAGAAGGGAAGAAACCAGCCTAATAAGGGTGAGAATACCCAAAATCAGAAAGCCTCTCCCTCTACAGGGGATCACAGTTCCTCATCAGCAACGGAACAAGGTCTGATGGAGAACGAGTGTGTTCCATTAAGAGAAGTAGGCTTCAAAAGGTGGATAAGAAACTTCTGTGAATTAAAAGAACTTGTTCTAACCCAATGCAAAGAAACTAAGAACTTTGAAAAAAGGTTTGACGAAATGTTAACAAGAATACACAATTTAGAGAGGAATATAAGTGAATTAACGGAGCTGAAAAACACAACACGACAACTTCGCGAAGTATGCACAAGTTTCCATTGAAAGGACAAGGACAGTGGAGCAGTGAACCTGACCCAGTTGAGGACTGACCACATAATGCCCATGATGGACTCAACAGCAACTGGGCACAGGCCCCATCCACACTCGGCTCCTCACAGCCTTTTCCATCCCCACCTGCAACAGACTCAGCACAGCAAACATGTGGATTCTGGAAGGTTCCCAGGTCTTTATTTACTCTCCCAAATTTTAGGAATTGACTTATTTAATTAACCCATCAACCTCTCATGAAAAATATTTGAGAAAACACATTTATATTCAGATTCTTATTTTCAGTAGGGAAGTAATCGGATGTAGCTCAGTGCACCATGAAGTTGAGACAGAGATGGAGACACCCAGCCCTACCTCTCTGGAACAGGAAAGATGACTGGGGAGGGAACACAGGTCAGCGTGGGGACAGCGGTCATGATGGACACGGGGTGGGCTGTCTCTCCACCTCCTCACATTACGCTAACAGGGACGCAGACACATGCAGACGCCTTTGCAGAAAGAGATGCCAGAGGCTCTTGAAGTCACAAAGGGGAGGCACGAAGAAATCCTGCATCTCAGTCCCACACAAGGCAGCTGTCTCAGGCTACAGAAAACAATAGGTGTCATCAAATTCATGTCAGTCATGGTAAGTGATGACACTCTGAACAGCCCACCACACACTTGAAACACCCCACTCAAAGAATCACGATTACCCAGTCCTTTCCCCTCTGCCTTACCCCGTACCCACTTCAGACCCCCAGAGTCTCACCTTTACAAGCCGTGAGAGACACATCAGAGCCCTGGGAACTGTCACTGCCTGCGGTAGAACAAAAACAGGACCTGGTCAGACCCCACAGGAGATGTGGGACAGAAGGAATTATGGGGTGGGTGAGCTCCTCCACACTCCCACCCCTACCACTTACACGCAGCCTGAGAGTAGCTCCCTTCTTTTCCACCTGTGGGAAGAAAGTATCCTGTGAGGAGATGGGGAGGAGGCAGAACCACGATATCTTAGAGAAACCTCCTAGTCTTGGACCCAACAGAAGTTTCCAGAACTATCACTACAGACCCAGGGCAGGATCAGGAAACACAAGGAAAGCAGGTGTGTGTCCTGGACCAAATGCCCTCCTAAGGTCTGTCCTTAGCAGGGACCTTCCCCTGACTTGTGAATGCTGGAATCAGGACCCCAACACTACAGTCATCAAGGTGATACATCTGTCCTTCATTGCCACATGTGCTTCACAAAAGAGTAAGTGCTGGCACACAGGGCCCCAGGCTGGATTGGCCCATGTGTGGATGGTGCTTCCCAGTAATGAGGCAGGGAACACTTCTACCTGGGGCTTGAAACCCCCAGCTGGACAAGAAAATGCAGACTCCACTCCTCACGCCTTCCCTACCTGAGCTCTTCCTCCGCAACAGCACAGCAGTGACCACAGCTCCAGTGACCATGGCTCCTAGGACACCCAGGCCAGCAACAATGCCCACAATGGGGACAGTGGGCTGGGAAGACGGCTCTGGGAAAGAAGAGGGAAGTGAGGGGTCCTGACCCAAGGCCTCAGCCCTGACCCTGCTAAAGGCTCCAGAAGGGCATCTGCTTTCCCTGAGAAGAGACATGACTCCACATCCCCTCCTTACCCATCCCCCTCCTGACCCCATCCCCCTCCTTACCCCATCTCAGGGTGAGGGGCTCCAGCAGCCCCTTGTGCTGCACATGGCATGTGTATCTCTGCTCTTCTCCAGAAGGCACCACCACAGCTGCCCACTTCTGGAAGGTTCCATCCCCTGATGGCCTGGTCTCCACAAGCTCCATGTCCTGAGTCTGCTCCTCCCCATCCCGCTCCCAGGTCAGTGTGATCTCCGCAGGGTAGAAGCCCAGGGCCCAGCACCTCAGGGTGGCCTCATGGTCAGAGACGGGGTGGTGGGTCACATGTGTCTTTGGGGAGTCTGACGGGATGAGTCAGAAAATTCAGACACTTTGCATCTCTCATGGGACACCCCAGCAGCACCCATGTGACCATTCTGAAATTGGACAGGACGCCTGGGGTGGGGAAGGGAGCACAGAACCCAGATACCAGCCTGGAAACAGGCACCTGGGACAATCTCCTATTCCTTGGAAAGTTCTAGTCTCTGAGGGAGGAACAGCGACTTCTGGTCCTGACCTGAATGGAGGCCGGGGGACTCAGAAAAGCTGGAATCAGACCTCCAAAGACACTTGAGAGTGAGGCAGAGAGCAAGGCCTGAGAGAAAAAGTCACAGCACCCAAGGCTGCTGCAGGGGTCAAAGGGGACCCCTGATCAACATTCCAGAGACTGTCTCCCCTCCATTTCCACAGAGCCATCATCGCTTAATTGTCCTAGAGAGCAGAGGAAACTCAGGAAAACTCGTGTCATTCTCCATTTAAGGGAGAGCGATATTCTAGCGCTGATCACATTTTCCTCCCCTCCTCGCGGGAGACCAACCCGGGAGATCTATAGGAGATGGAGAAGGCTTCCTACTGCCCCTGGTACCCGCGCGCTGCAGCGTCTCCTTCCCTTCCTCCAGGTGTCTGCGGAGCCACTCCGGGCACTCGTCCTCCAGGTAGGCTCTCATCCTCTCAGCCACATTGTTCGCCTCCAACTGGCGCTGGCTGATCTGAGCCTCCGTGACTGTTGCAGTCCAGGAGCGCAGGTCCTCGTTCAGAGCGATGTGATCCTTGCCGTCGTAGGCTCTCTTGTCATACCCACGGAGGAAGCGCCCATCTGGCCCCACTTCGCAGCCATATATCCTCTGGTAGGTGTGAGACCCTGGCCCCGCCCCCGCGGTCAGCCCCACCCCTCGAGCTCCCACCCCCACCCCCACCACCAACAACCCGCGGGGACTTTGCTTAAACTGAAAATGCTGGGGCTGTCTCCCGTCCAGGGTCTGGGCGGGTCCCGCAGCCTCGGGGTGGACCTCGAAGCCGGAGACTCGGGGAGACCCGGGCCGTCCGTGGGCGACGGGGAGGGGTAGTGACCTGCGCCCCGGGCCGGGGTCACTCACTGGGGTCGCTCAGGTTGTAGTGGCCGGCCAGGATCCTCATGGACATTTCGCTACTCCGTGCGTCCGCCTTGAGGCAAGCTGTCTCCTGGTCCCAGTACTCCGGCCCCTCCTGCTCCAACCACGGCGCCCGCGGATCCATCCTCTGACTCGCGGCGTCGCTGTGGAACCGCTCGAACTCCATGTCGTCCACGTAGCCCACGGCGATGAAGCTCGGCTTCCCACGGCCGGGCCGGGACACCGCAGTGTAGAAAAACGTCATGGAGTGGGAGCCTGGGGGAGAGGAGGGGCTGAGACCCGCCCGACCCTTCTCCCGGCGCGGCTCCCCGGTCCTGCGCCCCGCAAACGGACCTCTCCCTCCTCCCCGCAGAGGCAGTTTCCCTCCTGACGCCACACTCACCCTCCAGGGTCTGGGTCAGGGCCAGGGCCCCCGAGAGCAGCAGGAGGAGGGTTCGGGGCGCCATGACCGCCATCTTCGGCCTCTGGGGAGAAGCTGAGTCTCGGTGGGTGACTGGGGACTTTAGAACCGGGACCGCGGCGACGCTGATTGGCTTCTCTAGAAACCCGGCACCCAATGGGAGTGGGAACTGGGATGCGTCACGAGTATCCAGGAGGAAGGACCCGACACTGCTAAAAGTGAAACTCGTTGTGTCACTTGTGGGGAATCCCCAAGGCTGCGCGTCCCCAGTGCAGACACGGCTCTCAGTGCCTGAAACCCTGAGAGCCACGCCCGGGACCTGAGACTTTGTCCTGATCCCTCTTCTCCTACACCAAGCCTCTTTGTCACACTGACTGCCCGAGTCCTGGCCAAGGATCTGTCTGTGGAAACCAGGGAGAGACCCCCCCAGGCTACGCCCAGCCCCTTCCCCTTCACTTCTCGTCCTGGAATCCCCCTCCCTGAACTGGACTCTCTGCCTCCCACTCCTTACCTCTCCACTTGGATTCTTGTACGAGGAAACTCACCACGGGGAACTTGATGCCAGAGAGTGAGCTCGCCCGGGGAATGGACGTGTAGAGACAGGGGTTTTCTCTAAACCTGGTGAAGTTTTGTCTGAAGGCACCAGATAGAGATTCTCATAGAGACCAGTTTCCTTTTTGTTTATTAATACAGTAGGTAGCACAATATTGGTAATCCCTGAACGATTAGAATTCCAATCTGTAAAAGACCTGTGTCAAAATGGAGCTACAATTAAACTCTCTAAGCTCCTGAGTTTTACTTTCCCAGACTATGGATCTGTGACTGTGGGTTGTAACATTTAAAATTATCTTCATTCACTAGTCCAAGTTTCGCTGTGTGAGCCGAGAACATCTCCTGAATACAAAGAAGCATGTTTGTTACTGTGTATTAAACCGGGAGCCTGCAGTCATCACTCAGAGTTGCAAGTGCTCCATGCAGTCCCAATGCTCTTCGCTGAGGCCCCATCGCTGCCCGTTTTCATTATGCACATCTAAGCAGTGTGCATATTTTATTTGGACATTGAACATTTTTGTAACCCTTTTTTTTAATCTTAAGGAGACTATTCGTTTTTAGGCAGTCCCACAAAATGTATTAAATATCGAATGCAAAGAACCCCCTGCTAGGCTCTTCCGCTGCTTTAGAATTCTTTCCCCTGCTCCTTTTCCTCACCTCCTGCTTCTCCAGCCCTTCTCTCTGCCCCTCTCATCCCTCACACCCACCCCTCCCCTTAGTCCCCACCACCCTGTCACTCCTGAATTGTGGCACTGACACTGTCCCTCACTTCCTGCCCATGTCTGTTCTCCCCACAGTGCTCAGCAGTCCTGGTAATGTGACTCGTGTCATTTCTTCACTTAAAATGGTTGGATTCTACCATTGTGAGTGAAAAAGTCGAGACATTCTTCGTCGAGAGTCAGCCGCGGTTTCCTGCTTCAACAGTGCTTGGACGGAACCCGGCGCTAGTCCAGCCCGCCGCCCACAGCCAGCCCTCTGTCACCTCCACACCGCGCCCTCGGACCGCTCCAAGGCCCCGCCGCCTCTCCAGCGCTGAGCAGCCGCCGTGACCACCGACCGCATCACCTTCGCAGGTGCGCCAGAACTACCACCAGGACTCAGAGGCCGCCATCAACCGCCAGAACAACCTGGAGATCTACGCCTCCTATGTTTATCTGTCCATGTCTTACTACTTTGACCGCTATGATGTGGCTTTGAAGAACTTTGCCAAGTACTTTCTTCACCAATCTCATGAAGAGAGGGAACGTGTGGAGAAACTGATGAAGCTGCAGAACCAACGAGGTGGCCGCATCTTCCTTCAGGATATCAAGAAACCAGACCATGATGACTGGGAGAGCGGGCTGAACGCGATGGAGTGTGCATTACATTTGGAAAAAAAGGTGAATCAGTCACTACTGGAACTGCACAAACTGGCCACTGACAAAAATGACCCCCATTTGTGTGACTTCATTGAGACACATTACCTGAATGAGCAGGTGAAATCCATCAAAGAATTGGGTGGCCACGTGACGAACTTGCGCAGGATGGGAGCACCCCAATCTGGCTTGGCAGAATATCTCTTTGACAAGCACACCCTGAGAGACAGTGATAATGAAAGCTAAGCCTTAGGCTAATTTCCCCACAGCCACTGGGTGACTTCCTTGGTCACCAAGGCAGTGCATGCATATTGGGGTTTCCTTTACCTTTTCTATAAGTTCTACCAAAACATCTACTTAAGTTCTTTGTACCATTCCTTCAAACAAAAATATTTGGTACCAAAAAAAAAGAAAACGTCTACCATTTTCTATATGCTTTCAATTTGTCTCATATCTTTATGTTTCTGTTCCTTCTTTGCCACTTTCTTATGTGTCAAGTACACATTTTTTAGGTTATGGTTTTAATTCTCCTAGTGGCTTTTAGCTATATTTCTTTACACTTACGTTTTATTGTTGTAAGAATGGAAACCCAATTCCTTGACTTTTCACAGTGAAGTTCAGGTAATATTAAACTGCATCCAGCAAAATAAAGGACACTTGTAACAGTAAAGTTTCATTTAGCCTACTATTGTGCTGTTATTGTTGTATATATTACACCAATATACAATATAAACTCAACAATACAGTGTAATAGTTTTTGTTTTAGACAAGCAGCCATATGTCTTTAGGAAATTAAGAAAATGAGTGTGTGTGTGATATGTGTGTGTGCATCATTTCTGTTGTTAATTGTTCCTTTTTGTGTATCTGGGTCACATCTAGTATCATTTCTCTTCAGCTTGAAGAACTGCCTTTAAAATTACATGTAGTACAGGACCCCTAGGAAATGAATTTTATGGTTTGGATGATCTAAAAATGTGTTTATTTGCCTTCTTCCCCCCACTCCCACTTAGGAGTGAGAGCATGTGGTGTTTGGTTTTCTTTTCTCATGTTAGTTTGCTGAGGATGATGGCTTCACACTTCTTCCACGTCTCTGCAAAGGACATGAACTCATTTCTTTTTATGGCTATGTAGTATTCCATGGTACATATGTACCACTTTTTCTTTATTCAGTCTATCATTGATAGGTATTTGGGTTGGTTCCATATCTTTGCTACTGTAAATAGTGCTGCAGTAAACATACATGTGCATGTGTTTTTATAGTAGAATGATTTATATTCCTTTGGGTATATCCAGTAATTAAATTGCTGGGTCAAATAGTTTCTGGTTCTAGATCTTTGAGGGATGGCCACACTGTCCTCCACTATGGTTGAACTAGTTTACATTCCCACGAGTGCTTTCATCATTCTTGTTTAAACACCTAACAGGCATCCTAACCAGTGCAACATGGCAAGAAAATGAAATAAAAGACCAATAGAAGAACCAGGCATGATGGTTCACACTTGTAATCCCTACATTTTGGGAGGCTGAAGTGGGAGGATCATTTAAGTTCAGGAGTTTGAGACCAGCCTGATAGTGAGACCTCATCTCTACCAAGTAAAAATAATTTTAAAAGGAAAAAGATCAACAGACAGGAAAGGAGGAAATATGTCTTTGTCACCAGCTTCATTGCACATGCAGAAAACACTAGGAAATTCTGAAAAAGTCTCTGGAATTAATTATGGAATTTGCAAAATAGTTCAGAAAATATATGTAATAATCCACTTAGGTGAGCATGAAAAGACAGCAAACAATACTGGTCATCAAAGAAGTGAAAGTAAAAACCACAATCAGAAACCACCACACATCCCCTAGAATAGATAAAGTTAAAAAGACATATGATAAGTCTAAATACTGGCAAGAATATGGAACAAATACCAATGTCTGTATTGCTGGTATGAATGCAAAAAATGTTGCAGCTGATTTGTAAAGCAGTTTGGCAATTTCTTACACAGCTGCCCATCCATTACCACATGACCCAGCAATTCCACAAATATGTATTTATCCAAAAGAAATAAAAGTGTAAGGCCACATTTGTGAACAGTTACTTATAGTGGCTTCATTAGTAACACAGCCTAACTGGAGTAATCCACATGTCTATCAACTGGAGAATAGAGAAACCAATGAATAAACTGGGATTCCAGCAATACTCAGCAGCTGCTCAGCAACAAAAATGAATGAATGGCATCATCTCAAACACTGTTATGCTGAGTGAGAGACCAAACAAAGGACTACATCACATATGATTGCATGTCCATGAAATTCTAGAAATTTCACTAATGCAGTGACAGAAAGCAGAGCAGTGGTTGAGTGGAGGGAAGGGCTGGGGGTGGGAGGCAAGGATTAAATAGAAAGGGGCATAGAGAAAGTTTTTAGGGAAAAGAAACTGTTCTCTACAGTGCCACAATTCTGGAGTGACTGGGTGGTGGGAACTAAGGAGAAAGGAGGGAGGAGAGGGGCAGAGAGAAGGGCTGGGGAAGCAGAAGGTGAGGAAAAGGAGCAGGGGAAAGGACTCTAAAGCAGTGGATCAGCCTAGCAGGGAGTTCTTCGCATGTGGTGTTTCTCTACTGACCAGTGTGGTACTTAAACGACTACAAATAATTACCAATATTCACCAAAAAGCACAGATAAAACTGGTAAATTTTATTATGTGTAAATGAAAGGAGGAGGAGCTGAACAATGAGAACACATGGACACAGGGAGGGAAACAACATACACCAGAACCTGTTGAGAGTGGCAAACGAGGGGAGGAAATTTAGAGGACGGGTCTATAGGTGCAGCAAACCACCATGGCGGACAGCATGTATATAACAAACCTGCACATCCTGCACATGTATTCTGAATCTTAAAGTAAAATAGAATAAAATAAGTAAAAAAGAAAGTGCATGTCTTACATGTACACATATGTTCATTGCAGCACTAGTCACAACAGCAAAGACTTGGAATGTCCAAGTTTTTTCTTGTGAGACTTATAACCTATATAGAGTATATTACGTATAATATCTATAACATAAAAGATGGACGTTTCATAGAGGATAGATGGTTGCAAGATTTTTGTATTTATGGTCACTAGTATATTATTAACTGAAAGTGGGCCATGAACTGTTAAGAATTAGTTAAGTTCTGAAGGAAATTGAGACACAAAAAATCATTCAAAAGATCAACAAATCTCACAGATGGTTTTTTCAAAAAAAAAAAAAAAACACCTCGCCAATCTTGAGTCTCATCATCCGACGATTTCAGAACTATAGTGAATACAAAAGTAATTAAAGAACAGTCCTGGAAGTGGAGTTACCCCTAAATATGATGGCCCTGGGACATCTGGCCCTCCCTGATGGACCTCTTCCACATGGGCGCTTTCTGCAGTGACTCTGTTGCCTTGCTATTTCACTCTACCCAGTGTCCTGACCCAAGAGACAAGAGGTGTCTGCTGCTGTGTCCACATGTGGAGAAGGAAACCATGATGGTGTCAGTACATTACAAGCTTGGCATGACAGCTCACGCCTGTAATCCCAGCAATTCAGGATGCTAAGGCAAGATGATTGCTTGAGATCAGAAGTTGAAGACCAGCTTGGACAACATGGTGAGTCCCTCGTCTCTAAAAAAATATTAAGAATAAGTAAACTTAGCTGGGCATGGTGGTGGGCACTTGTATTTTCATGTATTAGGGAGGCTGAGGTGGGAAGATCACTTGAGCTCATAAATTCAAGGCTGCAGTAAGCTATGATCACACCACTGTACTCCAGCCCAGGCCACAGGGTAAAATATTGACTCAAAAATATATACTGTAAACCTTTGCTCACTATGGGTTATTTCATTTCTTATTTAGTCAATGTGTATTTTGATTTTATTTTACTGGCAGCACAATAAACCAGGACATGCTGAGACTAGAAATCACATCCATTTTTCAGTGTTAAAGAGCCAAGTCCAGGGAGGTGAGAAGGAGATAATCCTAATTAGCATTGAAGATTCAGGGACAACGAGAAGGGCTGGGCTGGAAGGTTTTTACTTGGAACCTGGAGGATGAGCAATGACATCTCTCTCTTCACCTTAAAACTCATCCTGGCCATCCACCTCCTGGGAGCAGGAGCAGCAAAGCAGTGCCACCTGGTCATCCATACGCTTCCTTTTGCAGATCACGCACAGCCTTGAGATCCACCTTTTCTTTCTATGCACCTGGGATTTTTTCACTGGTCACCAGGCTGAGTCATCTTTCTTGTAAAGCAAAAGAAGCGTGAGGTTGCTGGGGGATTAATGGTGTCATCTCCACCTTTGATGAAATCCATGTCACTGTATTCAGGGGAAGGGCCAATCCTTACTCCTCATGCAGAGAGGAGGCTCTTGCCGTGAAGGCACCTGTGGAGAGGTGAGGACCTGCTCCCTTTACACTGATGGCCAAGAGCCTGCAGATGGCAGAGAAGGCTTCCCCTTAGCTGTGTCCTATCAGGTTCTTTCAGAAGTCAAGGAGTAGACCTGCATATTGCCTCTGGTGATGTGAGCTGCACGCACACCTAGAAGTTTTACCTTTAGAAATATGCTTTTGTGAGAGTTTGAGCTGCCGGGCTGCCACAAGGTTCCCGAATCCTGCGTGCAAACCTGTCTGCAAGTCGAGATGTCGCACCCGTTCCCCCAAGCCAAGCCCTCCAACCCCAGTAACCCTCGAGTCTTCTTTGAAGTGGACATCGGAGGGGAGCGAGTGGGTGGAATTGTCTTAGAATTGTTTGCAGATATCGTACCCAAAACTGCGGAAAATTTTCGTGCACTGTGTACAGAAGAAAAAGGCATTGGACCCACGACTGGAAAACCTCTCCATTTCAAAGGATGCCTTTTCATCGAATTATTAAGAAATTTATGATCCAGGGTGGAGACTTCTCAAATCAGAATGGGACAGGTGGAGAAAGTATTTACGGTTAAAATTTTGAAGATGAAAATTTCCATTATAAGCATGATCGGGAGGGTTTACTGAGCATGGCAAATGCAGGCCCCAAAACAAATGGTTCTCAGTTTTTTATCACAACAGTTCCAACCCCTCATTTGGATGGGAAACATGTGGTGTTTGGCCAAGTAATTAAAGGAATAGGAGTGGCAAGGATATTGGAAAACATAGAAGTGAAAGGTGAAAAACCTGCCAAATTGTGAATTATTGCAGAATGTGGAGAATTGAAGGAAGGAGATGATTGGGGAATATTCCCAAAAGATGGCTCTGGCGACAGTCATCCAGATTTCCCTGAGGATGAGGATATAGATTTAAAAGACGTAGATAAAATTTTATTAAAATCAGAAGACTTAAAAAACATTGGAAATACTTTTTTCAAATCCCAGAACTGGGAGATGGCCATTTAAAAATATGCAGAAGTTTTAGATATGTTGACAGTTCAAAGGCTGTTGCCAAGACTGCAGATAGAGCCAAGCTGCACCCTATAGCTTTAAGCTGTGTACTAAATATTGGTGCTTGCAAACTGAAGATGTCAAATTGGCAGGAAGCAACTGACAGTTGTTTGGAGGCTCTTGAAATAGACCCATCAAATACCAAAGCATTGTACCGAAGAGCTCAAGGATGGCAAGGATTAGAAGAATATGATCAAGCATTGGCTGATCTTAAAAAAGCTCAGGAGATGGCACCAGAAGATAAAGCTATGCAGGCAGAATTGCTGAAAGTCAAACAAAAGATAAAGGCACAGAAAGATAAAGAGAAGGCAGTATATGCAAAAATGTTTGCTTAGTAAGGACTCAATTTTGCTTATTGTGTGATTGTATAAATGCAGTAAGAAAATGTAAAGGTTTTGTCTATTAAAAAAAAGAAATATGCTTTTGTACGCTTTTATTCTATCGATTCTCCTTGAAATGTATATTGTGTGGTAAAGCTTCTTATAGTGTGCATTTTGCTGATTGCTCCCAAGGTGCAGTTTAATATGTATTTCTATGATCTGTATTGCCTCTAAATTGGTAATTGGCTATGGAGGTTAGCTTAGAGTCAAGCTTCACTTCTATTTCACTTGGACTTGTTTGATAGTACCGTATTGTATTCTTCCAACAAGAGGAAGAACCTCACATTAGTTTTTCTTTTATTGTGTTGTTAATTGCCACTGCTGTTCAATTGTTAAATCTGTTAATTCCTATGGGTTGCAAAAGAGTTATTATAGTCTCAGTCTCTCATTCCTTCCTCATTTATTATCTGAATAATTTCTAAACTAAGGTATTTACCCTCCTCTACTGTTTACTACTAGAAACTTGTTTGAGAGACTAAGCCAAGCATCTACTCATCTATGACCCAGCAATTGCACTGTTAGTTATCAACCAATTGAAATTCATGTGTGTGCCAAAATTTATGAAAACATTATTCATGCCAGCATGATTTGTAAAATCTAGATACAGCAGTGAAGGGGAAAGTAGCATGAGCTATTTATAAAGTGGAGCTTTGGACAGCCATGGCAGTGAATAGGCTGCAGCCACACACAGCGAGATGATGAGACCCAGGGGCATGATGGTGACTGTCTAATGCCATTTAACTAGAATTGGCAGAACTAATCTGTATTAGGAACCAACGATGGCTAGTCTAGGGTAGGGAAGGGTGGTTTATACAGAAACCACCCTTTGAACTTATACATAATATTATTAAACACCCAAAAGTGTTTCCGGGAGGCTGTGATTGCTGTACTTGATGTGGGTGTTGTTTGCACGAGTGTTCACTTTGTGAAAATCCACTGCCCGCTTGTGGATTGTCCTCCTTTCTCCATGCATGCTGTCCTTCACTCAAATATACATTTCTGAAGTTTTGAAACAATTCTATCTACAGTAAGAAGAATCACTCCTACTTCACATCCTTGGAAATTCTGTATTGAAAAAATTAGTGCAATTTTTTTTAATTCCAGGAAATAAATACATATGAAGAGGAGAATCTACAACAAGAGCTGTAGGTTTGGGAGCTGACACCAGAACACCTTTGGAAATGGCTGTCGAGCCAGGAACTAGGAATCAAAACCCAAACAAGCCCAAGCGGGGTGGAGGATGTGAAATGATGCCCCAGTAGTGCATGAATGAATGCGTCATGGGCAGTGGCTCATGGCTTGGCTGGCCAGCCACGAACTTGGGAAAAAGAGTTGCAAAATTAGGAGGTGGAGATGAGAGATACACATAGGCCTCTTGATATAGTCAGAGTGTGTGAAGATAGTGGTTGTGTGTGGATGCCTTCTAGAGGGCCTTTAAGGGGCTGGGGCTCCCTGTAATCAGGTGGGCAAGATGGCTTGATGGATAACACCACTCAGCCACACAGGGCTTGCTTATGGACAAAGTGGCTGTGGTGACTGGGACGGACACTGCATGGGCACAGCAATGAACTCACCACTTACCAAGGCTGACCTGGCAACTGCCACTGTTGAGGGCCCAGCCTGCCAAAAGCTGCCCAGCTGTTTCTTTGGACAGAAAAATTAAACAGGCAGTGGTAATTAAGAATAAAATAGCATTATGACAGATAAATATTCCACTAAAGATACAGTAGAGGTTTAAGTAATTGTGAAACTATGACTAAGATAATGTCAATGGGAAGGACTTACTACAAGAAAAAGAAGTTAAAATGGCTGTAAAACTTTATTTCCCTTCAGGCATATCCAGAATGTTTTACAGATAAATTCTGCCAAAACTTCGAAGAAGGTTACTGAACTTATGCATAATATTCAAGAGAATGAGGAAACACAGAGAAAGCCAGTGAACTCATTATTGTTTATGCATAAATCGCATAGATTCTAAAGCCAGCTAGGGAATACATAAGAGAAAAGCATGATAGGATAATCACTTCTAAGTAATTAGATGTAAAAATACTGAGAAAAATAGTTGTAGACTGTGTCCACCAATGAGCTATAAGCAAATTAAATATCCTGCCCAGGCTATGTATCCCAAGAATAGAAGAATATTTAAACTTCAACTCTGTAATGCATTTTACCACTTAATTAAAAAATAACAGACAGAGGTGATCACATTTCACTAGATGTGGAAACTACTACAGATGAAATCCAACACTCCCTCTCACCCACATTTCTTCAGTTATCTCCACTTTTAATAACTTGCGATATGTGCTCGCTTTGGCAGCACATAGATTAAAACTGGAGCAATACAGAGAAGATCAGCATGGCCTCTGCACAAGGGTGACACACAAATTCATGAAGCCTGCTATATTTTAACTCTCAATAAACTAGGTATTGAAGGAACATATTTCAAAATAATAAAGACCATCTAGGACAAACCCACAACCAATATCATACAGAATGGGCAAAAGCTGAAAGCATTCCCCTTTAACACCAGCACAAGACAAGGATGCCCTCTCTCACCACTCCTATTCAATATAGTATTGGAAGTTCTGGTGGGGCAATCAGATAAGAGAAAGAAAGGATATTCAAATAGGAAGAGAGGAAATCAATACGTTTGTTTGCAAATGACATGATACTATAACTGGAAAACCCCACTGTCTCAGCTGAAAAGCTTCTTAAGCTGATAAGAAACTTCAGTAAAGTCTTAGGATACAAAATCAATGTGCAAAAGTCACAAGCACACCTATACACCAACAATAGACAAGGAGAGAGTCAAGTCATGAAAAACTCCTATTCACAATTGCTACAAACAGGATAAGATGCCTAGGAATACAGCTAACAAGGGAATTGAGGGGCCCCTTGAGCAGGTCCTTGAAGCTCAAGGAAATCAGAGAGGACACAAAAAAACGCTCCAGGCTTATGGATAGGAAGAATCAATATCTCGAAAATGGCCATACTGCCTAAAGTAATTTATAGATTCAATGCTAATCTCATTAAACTACCATTGACATTTTTCACAGAATTAGAGGGAACTCTTTTAAAATTCATATGGAACCAAAAAAATATTGTATAGCCAAGACAATCCTAAGCGAAAAGAACAGAGCTGGAGGCATCATGCTACTCTACTTCAAGCTATACTACAAGGCTACAGTAACCAAAACAGCATGGTACTGGTACAAAAACAGACACATAGACCAAGAGAGCAAAATAGAGAACTCAGAAAGAAGATTCCACATCTACAGCTATGTGATCTTCAACAAACCAAAACAAGCAACTGGGAAAAGATTCCTTATTTAAGAAATGATGCTGGGAGAACTGGCTAGCCATATGCAGAAAAATTAAAACTGTACCCCTCCTTACACCATATACAAAAATTAACTAAGATGGATTGAAGACACAAATGTAAAACCCAAAACTATAAAAACCTTAGAAGAAAATCTAGGCAATAACATTCAAGACACAGGAACAGTCAAATATGTCATGATGAAAAAGTCAAAAGCAATTGCAACAAAAGCCAAAATTGGCAAATGGGATCTGATTAAACTAAAAAGCTTCTGTACATCAAAAGAAACTACTATCAGATTAAACCTACAAAGTGGGAGAAAATGTTTGCAATCTATCCCTTTGACAATGGTCTAATATCCAGAATCTCCAAGGAGCTTAAATAAATTAACAAAAAACAAACAACCCCATTAAAAAGTGGGCAAAGGACATGAACAGACAGTTCTCAGAAGACATTTACATAGCAAACAAACATATGAAAAAAAGCTCCACATCACTGATTATTAGAGAAATGCAAATCAAAACCACAATAAGATACCATCTCATGCCAGCCATAATGGAGATTATTAAAAAGTCAAGAAACAGGCTGGGCACAGTGACTCATACCTGTAATCTCAGCACTTTGGGAAGTCGAGGCGAGTGGATCACCTGAGGTCAAGAGTTCGAGACCAGCCTGGCCAACATGGTGAAACCCCATCTCTACTAAAAATACAAAAAATTTATCTGGACATAGTGGTAGGTGCCTGTTATCCCAGCTACTCAGGAGGCTGAGACAGGAGAATTCCTTGAACCCAGGAGGTGGAGGTTGCAGCGAGCTGATAAGGTGCCACTGCACTACAGCCTGGGTAACAGAGTGAGACTCCATTAAAAAAAAAAAAAAAAATTCAAGAAATAGCAGATACTAGCGAGTTTGCAGAGAAATAGGAATGCCTTTACACTGCTGGTGGGTTTGTAAACTAGTTCAACCATTGTGGAGGCTGATGTGGCCATTCCTCAGAGATCGAGAACCAGAAATGCCATTTGACCCAGCAATCCCATTACTGAGTATATACCCAAAGGAATAGAAATTATTGTATTACAAAGATACATGCACACATATGTTCATTGCAGCACTATTTACAATAACGATGACATGGAATCAACCCAAATGCCCATCAATGATAGACTGGATAAAGAAAAATATGGTACATATACACCATGGAATACTGTGCAGCCATAAAATGGAATGAAATCATGTCCTTTGCAGGGACATGGATGGAGCTGAAAGCCATTATCCTCAGCAAACTAATTTAGATACAAAACACAAAATGCCGCATGTTCTCACTTATAAGTGTGAGCTGAATAATGAGAACACATGGACTCAGGGAGGGAACAACACACAGTGGGGCCTGTCATGGAGTGGGCTGGGAGAAGGAGAGGGTTAGGAAAAATGGTTGTGCATGCTGGGCTTAATACCTAGGTGATGGGTTGATAGGTGCAGCAAACCATAATGGCACACATTTGTCTATGTAACAAACCTTCACACCCTACACATGTACCCCAGAACTTATAATAAAAATTTAAAAAGAAGTTTTTCAAATAGTGATCAGAGCTCCACCAAAAAAAAAAAAAAGAAGAAGAAGAAGTTGTGATCAGATTGGGCCTGCCCAGATAATCCAAAATAATCTTCCCATCACAAAGTCCAAACCCTTAATCATATCTGCAAGTCCCTTTTGTTCTGTAAGATAACATATTTTAAAGTTCTGAGGCTTAAGGTTTGGATATATTTGTGAGGTTATTCATCTGAGTTTCACAGTGAATATGGTGGCTGAATAACGTTTAACATTAGTTAAACTCTTAGAAGGTGGAAAGAGAGTAAATAAAAGGAAGCATTCCATAAAGAGAGTATAATCAAAGATTAAGCAAACGTGTGTTTAATCCTGTGAAGGAAAGAGAACAACATCTGCTCATGCTACCCTGGAGTGTCAGATGCTAAAGACAAATGATGATCTTAAAGGTAGCCACAGAAGAAACACAGATCATCTGAAAAGGAACTGGATTAGCATGTAGCTGACTTCTCCTCATCACCCACAGCAACCAGAAGAGAGAGCATCCCTTGAAGAGCTCAGGGAAGAGCAATGTCAAAGCAGAAATTCGTGGCTGGCAAATCCATCTTTCAAGAATAAGAGCAAAATAAGGACATTTTAATATAAATAGGACTGTTGGTACATTGGCAAGTTTCCTACTTTAAGAATATTTAGGTCATAAAACATATAGGAAAAGAAGAAAGAATAGGAAGAGGGGAGGGAGGCAGTGAGGGAGAGAAGGAAGGAGGGAGAGAGGGAGGGAGGGAAGAAAGGAGGGAGGAAGGAAGGAAGGAAGGAAAAAAGGAAGGAAGGAGGGAATGAAGGAAGGGGAAGGAAGGAAAGAAGGAAGGAGAGGGGGAGGGAGGGAAGGAGGAAGGGAGTGAGTCAAGGAGAAGAAAGAAAGAGAAAGAAAGAAAAGAGAAAAGAAAGAAAGAAAGAAAGAAAGAAAGAAAGAAAGAAAGAAAGGAAGGAAGGAAAGAAAGACAGAAGAAAAATTAATTGGTAATCATAGGTAGATGTAAATCAATATTGTCATTATAAAATATTAATAATGTAGAGTTAAAATGAAAAAATTATGTAAAGTACTTAATATTTTGTTGTATTATTACTTCCTCATCCATCTTCCCATCCCTACCTAGGCTGTGCCATCCATGAGGTCTGAGGAAGTTTTATTTCTTTTTCTAAGACTCCAATTCATGGAGTGCAGTACCCAAGATAAGGTAGAGATTTGATGAATGTTTACCAAGTAAAAACATTTCCTGAAGACAATTTCAGGCCAGGAATTGTGATGCATAAGCACAGTTCAAAAGCAGCTGAGGGGAGTGACATCAGAGAACATGATGGCATAGAAAACTCCAGGAGCCCAGCCCCCCACAAGAGGGATGACACAAGAAACAGTAGGGTTTGGGAAAGCTTCCGTATTCCTAGGAATCTAGATAGTCTTGTACATGACTAGTGAGGTAGTCCCTTGTTCACACGTCTAGCTGACTGTCTATAATACACAAGCAAGAAGTAAAGGCAAAGGCAGAGTTGTAAACGGCCCAACTGACTGATGAAGGCATGATCCCCACACACCCAGAGACTGGTTGAAAAGACTGGAAATTGTTCCCTTTTTGGCTCAAGACATTTAAGGAAATCTCTGTCAAAACACTAGAAGACCACTGAGCTAACTGAACAGAGATTTCAGTGACCACACACAATAAAAACACAGTCTATACAAAAATAGTTTAGAAAAATGTAATTTCCAGTTACCACATTATAATATTGAAAATGTCTAGTTTTCAACTTCAAAAAACATGAGTTATGTATGTATGAATGTATGACCCCTTCACAGGAAAAGCAATGGACAGAAATTGTTCCTGAAAAATGCCAAGCACTGGACTGACTTACTAGACGACTTTAAATCAACAGTCATAAACACAGTCAAAGGGCTGAAGGAAATAACTAAAGAAAATCAGGAGAACTACATTTCACTAAAGAGCGAAAATCAATACAGAGGAAAAAATTGTGAAAAGGAACCAAATGGCAATTCTGGAGCTGAAATGTACAGGAAGCAAAATAGAAAATTCACTGGAGGGATTCAAGGGCAGATTTCAGGATGCAGAATGAAGAATCAGTAAATGTGAACATAGGTCAATTGAAATTGTCCCATTTGAGAAGCAGAAGGGAAAAAGTATGAAGAAAAATCAACAGAAGAGATCTGAGAGACAACATCAAGCATATGCGTTTGGGAGTCCCCAGAAGGGAGAGGAAAGAAGTGTGGAGGGAGAAAGAATATTTGAAGAAATAATGACACCAAACTTCCAAAATTTTATTACAAACAGGAATCTGGGTATCCAACACATGCAAACTTGGAATATATTCATCAGCCTCTTTGTTATTGTGACAAAATACACATAAACACAAAATCTACCGTTGTAACCATTTAAGTGTACAATGCAGTAACATTTGGTAGATTCACAATGTTATGTAGCCATCATCCCTATCAAGTTCCAGAGCATTTTCATCACCCTGGAAGGAAACTC